AATCTGACTTTCCTTCAGCTTCTTTTCATCTTTTACACAGAATATGCTATTTATAAATATGGGATTAAGTGGGAAACTAAAATTACCAAGACCCTGCTATATGTCAGGCATAATGCTAATAAATACTTTCCATATATTTCTCATTTTTAAAAATTTTCTATTTTTATTTTGTTGACATTATTATCACTATTATTTTTTTAAATGTTTGTTTATTTATTTTTGAAAGATTGAGAGAGAACAAGTGGGGGAGGGACAGACAGAGAGGGAGACACAGAATCTGAAGCAGGCTCCGGGCTGAGCTAACAGCCCTAACCCACGAACTCCGAACATAGAGCTCGAACCCACGAACCGTGAGATGATGACCTGAGCCAAAGGTGGACACCCAACCGACTGAGCCACCCAAGCACCCCTTATTCTTATTCTTACTGTTATTATTGTTATTATTATTATTGAAGTTATATATTTCTCCTTTAATCAACCACCTGTGAGATTACTTTATCCCCATTTTGCAGAAGAGGAAATTTAGAATATGAGAGATTAAGTAAACTGGTAGTTAGGTAAACTAAGTAGCTAACAGGTTATAAATAAATAGACTGAAGTTAGATGTTAGTGACTGTTAGATTAAATAAACTGCATGCTTCAAAACCCAGTTCCACCATTTACTGGTTGTGTGACCGTTATGGAAACTCAACCTCTCAGAGTCTCCACAGCATCATGGATAAAACAAGGGAAACATCACCTTCCTCATCATCTTCCTCAAGATACTGAGAATTTGTAATGAAACCAGGTACATACAGCACCCAGTACAATGTGTTAGCAACCCTTCCCTCATCTCCCCATTCTGTAACTTACAGCCTTGGCTTTTTTTTTTTTCTTTAATTTTTATGAAGGAGGCTGTTTGCTTGCAAGCCTAAAAGCATCTCTGCTACTAGGGGCACCTGTGTGGCTCAGTTGGTTAAGTGCCTGACTCTTGATTTCAGCCCAGGTCGTGATCTCACAACTCAGGAGATGGATAGTACAGAGCCTGCTTGGGATTCTCTCTCTCACTCTCTCCCGTTCTCTCTGCCCCTCCCCTGCCCATGCTCTCTCTCCCTCAAAATTTATAAATAAACTTTTTAAAAGTTAAAAAAAAAAAAAAAGGCCTCTGCTACTTTAAGCCCCTTTAACAGGTGTCCAGGAGCATTGTTTGTTAGTGCTCACAGCCAGTAGCTCTCTGCCTTTATCCTGAGCGTTCACATTCATGCAAAAGGAATTTTCATCAGCCTTTGGCTTCTTTCTAGCTCCAAAGAGGCTGTGATATAAAAGCAGCTCCAGTGAGTCATGCTTTCAGCTTCCAGCTGGTGACGTAACAAACCTGAACTAGCCTCATCACCACTGCCAGCAACCACAGCGGATCTCCTCCACTGACAGGCTTTCCTAGACCACATTAACAAGTCTAGCACATGGCCGCACAGCTGCCAGATGGCCCTGAGAGCCTCAGCCAGCTTGTCAAGTTTAACTTAGTTCCTTGTAAGAGGTAAAGTAAGGATCACCCCACCAAAGAAGATGAAATGCCTTTTTTGGAAATGAGTTTTCTGATGATGATAAATTCATATCACGATTTTGTTGCATGATTTTGTTGTAGTGAGTATCAGTGACTCTAGTGGCATCATAAGCAGTTTTGGTTTATAGCTTTTTTTTTTTTTTTTTTTTTTTTTTGTCTGTGAGCATTTACCCTCGAGGGCAAAGAAGGGCATTTATCACAATGGTACAATTTGCACTGTGGTTTCATTTTATCTTTGAGGTCTAGGCCTAAGGTCAAGAGGATGTCAGAATTGTCACTAGAGTCAGATGCTATCCATCTTGGTCATTTCTCCTGGACAGTGGTCACAAAACACATGAAGAAATGATTGTTCTTGACGTAAGTCAACCTCTGTGTCCCCCTTGTAATAAACCATGGATCACACAGACATGAATCTAAACCTTTTTTTTTTTTAAGTTTATTTATTTATTTTGAGAGAAAGAGAACCAGCATGGAAGGGGCAAAGAGAGAGGGGGGCAGAGGATCTGAAGCAGGCTCTGTGCTGAGAGCAGAGAGCCTGATGCGGGGCTCAAACTCACAAACTGTGATCATGACCTGAGCCAAATTCAGACGCTTAACCAACTGAACCACCCAGGCGCGCCTAAACTTTTTTCCCTAACCTGTCTTCTTTTTCTACTAGTTTTCTTACATATTTTGAAATGATGATTTCCCTGGTTTTATTACCTACCTTGTCAAATGCCAATTGCATTTGTTGGTCTTGAATTGAATTTTAAGTCCAGCATTTGGGGATTTAGTTCATAAATCCTCTTCCTTCCTACTCATGTTGTTCACAACCGTATACATTCTGCTCATACTCTTGGTGTTTAGAAGCAGAAGTCTGACCAGCTTCTGTTTGCCCAAACTGAGGAAGTTTGGCAGCCTGTCTCTGCCCTGCTTCCTCCACTGCCTTGACCGTTAACATGCATATTGTTGCAGGAAAAGCCCTTCATTAAATACACAGACAAGGCAACAGTAAGGAAAAACAACACCAAAATCCCAGGATAATTGTAAAATGGAATTGTGCTGGCTTCCTAGTACCTATGCTCTTGCTGATCTGCCTAGACACAAGGGGGGCAGCCTCCTGGCAGGATGTGCTTGGAGTCTGGATTAAATAAATAGCACAACCAAAAAAGAAGAAACGAAAAGTCTGGTGGTCAGAGACTCTTGGATTCTACTTAACATTTTCCAACCCTATAGGCTTCTGATTCTTCCCCTTCCCTATAGTTTCTGCATTGTCTATTTTTACTAACATATGAAATAGGAGTAAATAATAAATGTAGCTTATGGTTTCTTCTTAAATATCTTCAGGTCTTCCCTGAGAAAAGGCGCTTTATGCTTACTGACTATATTTCCTTTTCTTCCCCAACAAATTAAACAATACCACTCATTTTTATTGTTCACAATTGTTGAAATAATTCACCCTAATTTGGATTCTTTTATACGAGAACCTCCATGTACACACAACTCCTATGGCACCTTTATAAAGTGTGTAGGCCATAAATATGTTGTCTCAATATGGGCAGAGAAAATCACAGTTACGAGGTAAGTTCAAATCACATTGTGTGTTAATGGCAACAGCATATGAGTTCAGGGGCTGGATCTGGGCTTTGATACACTTGCCACATTCAGAGATAAAAGTCTCTGAAGCCCAGGCACAGAAAAGGGTAGAATGATGCTCACTTTAAAATTTTTTTTTCAACGTTTATTTATTTTTGGGACAGAGAGAGACAGAGCATGAACGGGGGAGGGGCAGAGAGAGAGGGAGACACAGAATCGGAAACAGTCTCCAGGCTCTGAGCCATCAGCCCAGAGCCCGACGTGGGGCTCGAACTCACGGACCGCAAGATCCTGACCTGGCTGAAGTCGGACGCTTAACCGACTGCGCCACCCAGGCGCCCCTGATGCTCACTTTTAAAGTTGATCACAGTTAAACCCTTTTTATGTCACTAAGTAATTCCACAGACTTCATGGATGTCCAGTCTGGCGAAGTCTCATTACAGTTGCCCATTAAAAAAAAAAAATTGCTGGGGTGCCTGGGTGGCTCAATCGGTTAAGTGGCCGACTTTGACTCAGGTCATGATCTCACCATTCATGGGTTCAAGCCCCGTGTCGGGCTCTGTGCTGACAGTTCAGAGCCTGGTGCCTGCTTCAGATTCTGTGTCCCCCCCCTCTTTCTGCCCCTCCCCTGCTCATGCTCTTTCAACACTGAATAAACGTTAAAATAATTTTTTTTTAATTTGCTATTTACTCTTTCAAATGACTGATCATGACTGTGTGAAACTGCAGACGGTTTCCTAACTCTGGAAGATATGGTAATGCAATTCCTCCAACCACACGGGATTCCGAAACAGCTGTAGCAATGTCCTAATCTGCCCCAAATACAAAAGGATGACTAAACAGAAGAATGCAGCTTTCTCTTTCTAAGAAAAGTCAGCTGGGAACTCTACTTCCTACATTGTTTTTGCTTCTAGGAAGAAAAGTCTGAGACCTGCTTTCTGCCTGACTTCATAATGGTCAGTGGGGTCCTATATTCAGACACATTAGGCACAGATAATGGACCCAAACTGTGTGAGCCCATGGTCTACTGGCCTCTGCTTTCAGAACCATTCCATCAGCTAGATACTCACTTTTAGTGAGCCAAAAGAAAAGGGACCCCTTCTAGGGCTGCTTTTGCAGCAACATATATTCACAATTCATTGTATTTGGGTATTTAAATATAATGTTACTTTACAATTATACAGTGCTTGGCAATTTTCAAATATTTGTTTGCTGCTAAAAATTAGTTTCAGACAACAGCTGTTGTTATCCCCATTTTTACAGAGGAGAAACCAAGGTTTAGAGAGGTCATGTTACATAGATGTAAGTCTGCTTGATTGCAAAGCTCATGCTTTTTTTCCCCCTTAACTTTTACTTTGAAATAATTATGGATTCACATAAGGTTGCAAAGAAATACAGGGAAGTCTCATGTACCCTTCCCCCAAATTCCTCCAATACTGATATCTTCCATAACTAGAGCATAGTATTAAAAGCAAGAACACGATGCTTGCACAATCTACAGAGCCTATTTAGAGTTCGCCAGTTAGACATGCACGTGTGTATGTGTAGCTCTATGAAATTTTGTCTTTTTTTGTACATAAACCACACACTTCTACCAATTTGAAATACTAAGTCAGAATATAGGAAAGAACAAAATGACTTTTCCCTCAATAACATAGTATCTCCCAAGAATTCCATTCATGGCCAGACAGTTTTTCTACTCACAATTAAGAAGAAAGAAATCCCACAAAACCTCAGCTCTTGAGAGCACTAATCTGTGCTACATGTCTTTATGGACACATCTTTTGGGGTTGGGTTAGGGGAATCTGATTTATTGGTAATTATGGCAGCAATATTCTTTCATATCAGAAATTTTTATCCATAAAGAGAAAGATGATCTTACCTTGACTTCAAGTTTAGTTTTATCATCTTTTTCTACTGTCCCTGTACAAGGTTCCTCTGATGTTCTCTGAAGAGGAGCTAGAAAAACAAAGAAAACCTGCCATTAATTTGTCAACTCAGCTTATAAATAACTCAGTATATAGCCTGGCTTGGACAAGCACCTGGACTGTGTGGGGCCAACTGATTAACAAAGCTTAACTGAGCTGCCGTGGTGATTTGTGAGGTGGGGGATGAAATTGAAGGTGAAGGAGAGAACAGAAAAGAAATAGTTCTTGAAAGGGGGGGAGGGAAAAAAAAAAAAGAAATAGTTCTTGACCCCAGGCATTTAACATTTGATTCAAAGGACAAAAGTCACACACATCACATGAAACATCAAACCACAATAAATCAGTAAATACAATGTGGTAAAAACGATAGAGTTTCCATCATTCCCATTTTTAAGTCTCCATAAAAAGGTCACTTTCTTCATGAAGTCTTCCTGGACATTAAAACTTTATAGATTCTTGACTCATTCGGCTAGGCATCTGACTCAGTTCAGGTCATGATCTCCCAGTTCGTGAGTTCAAGCCTTGCATTGGGCTCTCTGCTGTCAGCACAGAGCCCTCTTTAAATCCTCTCTCTCCCTCTCTCCCTGTCCCTCCCCTGCTTGCTCACTCTCTCTCTCTTTCTCTGAAAATAAATAGAATATCTTTGTACTGTATAATATTGCAGTTGATGTTGTTTTGGATTAAAAGACCAGATTCAATTCCAAATACCACATTCATTGGATATATATTTTTTCATTATAGAGGTAGTTAATTTGTGCTTATCATCAACAATTTTTGAAAAATACTGAAATCTTACCACTTAAACACAACCATTTGGTATATTTCCTTATAGTCTTCTTTAAAATGTTTTCTCCCTCTCTCTCACTCTCCACATACATACCCACACACACCCACCCCACACCCACACTCACATAATCATACTATGATTATATAAGTGGATGTCTATGCCTGCCCAGCCAGAAATTGTTGCTAATCTACCAGTTGGATTCCAGAACTGATGGAACTGCATTTGTTAGTGGATGAGACAACCATGGGAAAAATCGGTTAGCTCAGTCAGGACAGAACTGGGCTATCTTCCTCTTGTTCTCTTCTCTCTGTCACTCCGTCACCCTCCCCTCCTTTCCACAGAGCTCTTGGACACCTGGGAGACATCCTTTCTTCAGGCTCCAAGGCCATTTGGCAGTAAGAATGGGACTTGTGGAGGAGAAGCCCTGGTTAGGCCTTGAGGCTTTCTCACCCAGCTTTGCCAGAAGGCTGCACTGGGGATGATGGCTACAAGGCTAATAAATAAGTGGTACTTCGAGTTCTTGTCACTGTCAACAACCTTGTGTGTAGAGTTCCCCTGGAAAACTCACAGGATACATGTGATTAACCCAGGACAGAATTTGAGCACTTCTAGGTCCTATGGCCAAAATACCATCCATCTAATGCCCCCAATATATCGCCCTGATTCTTATCTGTGGTGAACTTATCTGTGGTAAACTGTGGCCTCCAGAGGTTCCTCCCAGCCCCAGGTTCTGTGAGTCAACTGGAATCCGCTTGGGCTTTCTATGGCTCTTTCACAGATATTATTGAAATCTGTAGTGAAGTACACTGTTTGCTGCTCTTGGTTCTATAACCCCTGAAGAAAATTCATAACAATGAACACTCCTTTGGGCGCCTCACTCTCTGCAGGATCTCTGTAAGCTGAGTGATTGCAGGCATAATAACTGGAAGCTAGAAGCGCATAATACATTATAATCGGCAACACCCACGGCTGAGGAGTACCTGCCCTTAACGATGTAAGTAAAGTGCTGAAGTTAAAGGCAGGGGCAAGGAGCCACACTGCCGGCATTCGAGTCTTGCTATTCCTTGTCCAAGACACATATTATCAGAGTAATCTCTGTGCCTCACCATCTTCGTCTATAAAATGTGAAATAATGAGAAAGCCTACAGTATAGGGTTGTTATGAGGCTTAATGAGTTAATATATGCCAAGTGTTTAGATCATGGTAAACAGTAAATTTTAGCTATGATTACAGCCACAAAAGAATTTTTTCACGTTCCTTATAAACTTCAAAGAAGTTAAATATTGTAACCAAGGTACCGGCTAACAAGAGTCACAGTCAAGATTCCAGCTCCCTCACATTCTTTACACTGTGAAATGTAATGATTTATCTTGGAACAGACGCAGTTACTAAGGAATCAGACAAATGTGTCTGAAAATCCTATTAGTGATTTGCTTGAATCCATACTCAGTGGTTACTATCCAAAACAAAAGTGCAGAATTGTTCTGCAGAATGAGCAAGTTGCCAGGTCAGTGATATCCATTCAGACATGACAAAGTCTGTTTACCCTAGAAGGGTCACTGTCTTTTATGAAATCTTATGTTTGAAAAAGAAAGAGAAACAAGCTGTCATTCTCACTTTATTTGCTTATAACAAACATAGATCCCTTAAAACAATGACAGAAGAAAAAAATCATAGAAGTGAGCATAATTTAGTTTTGGGAAAGAGCCCTAGATGAGAAGTAAGGAGAGCCAAGTCCTGTTTCTAGCTATCCAAAAAGATGACTCCATGTGTGGGAGTGTCTGTTTGTGTCAGCAGGATGTGTGCAAAAGTATATTGAGTGTGCATATGCATTTATGTCTATGAGTGTGTGTGTATGTGTGTGCACACAGAAAATTCAAGAAATAAATGCACCAAACTGTTGTCAAGACTTGCTTCTAAAAAGTGGAATATGTGACAGGAGACAGAGGACTGTAAATCATACTAAGTGGAGAATTATCAGAAGACCCCATAATTTTCAGATAAATAGAAACAAAAAGGATTTGTTGCCAGAAGATCTGCACAACAAGAAATGCTATAGGTTCTTCAGCCTGGAGAGAAATGCCACAAAATGGTGATTCAGATCTACAGTAAGGAATAAAAAGAACACTGGAAATGAATAAGAGAGTAGATGTAAAAGACTATATATATAAAATATAACAGACTATACAGAAGAATATACCACAGAGCATGGAAGGAAGCATATGGAGCTATAATGTTACAAATTTCCTATATTTTACATAAGATGCTATAATATTAGCTCTAAGTAGACTGTGAGAAATGAACATAATAATCTCTAAGGAAAATATCTGGGAAAAACAATGCAAAGAGGTATGCTGAAAAGCCAATAAAGGAATTAAAACAGAACACTAAAAATATTTGCTAACGCAAAAGAAAGTAGGAAAGGAGGAACGGAGGAATAAAAAAATTAAGACAATAAACAACAAATAACAAAATTATAGTTCTAAATCCAACTATATCAATAATTATATTGTATGAAAATGGACTAAATACTCCAATTAGAAGGCAGAGGTTAACAGAATGTATTAAAAAGTCAAGACCCAGGTGTCTGGGTGGCTCAGTTAGTTAAGCATCTGACTTAGGCTCAGGTCATGATCTTGCAGTCCAGGAGTTCCAGCCCTACATCTGGCTCTGTGCTGACAGCTCAGAGCATGGAGCCTGCTTCGGATTCTGTATCTCCCTCTCTCTCTGCCCCTCTCCTGCTCATGATCTCTCTCTCTCTCTCTCTCTCTCTCTCTCTCAAAAATAAATAAACTAAAAAAAATTTTAAGCCAAGACCCAATTATATGCTGCCTATAAGAGATATACTTTAAAAACAAGGAAACAGAAGAAAGGAAAAAATATATCATGCAAACACTAAGCACAAGAAAACTGGAATGCTATATTAGTATCAGACAAAATAGACTTCAGGACAAGGAGTATTACTAAAGGAGGGAAGGAGAGATATTTCCTAATTATAAAAGGGCCAGTATATCTGGAAGACATAACAATTATGAACATGTAAGTGCTTAATAACAGTTTCAAAATACATGAAGTAAAGAATGATATACATATCATATCCAAGAGTAGTTTATCCTAGGAATGTACAATTGTTTTAATATTTGAAAACAAATCATTGCAACCCACCACATTAACAAATAAAGGAGAAAAACTATATGATTACTTCAATATATGCACCAAAAAGAGCATCTGAAAAAGTCAACAATCATTCATGATGAAAATTCTCATCAAATGAGGGAGAGAAGGGAACTTCCTCTATTTGGTAAAAGGCATCTGTGAAAAACTTACTGTTAACATCACACTTTAAGGTAAAAAATGAATTATTTCCCCTAATACTGGGAAAAGACAAGGTTGTCTGCTCTCACCCCTTCTATTTAACATTGTGCTGGAGGTCTTAGCCATTATAATAAGGCAAAGGAAAAAAGCATGAAGTTTGAAACAGAAGAGGCAGAATGTCCCAATTCACAGATGACCTGATTGTATTTTATGCAGAAATATATTCTTATTGATAGTTATATACGGTAAGTTCCATTTACTATACACTTAAAAAAAACATGAAATGGCTAAGACCTCTATACTCAAAACTACTATACTGCCAAATACCATATGATCTCACTCAGGTGTGCAATTTAAGAAACAAAATAAATGAGCAAAGGGAGAAGAAAAAAAGAGAGAGGGAGGCAAACCAAGAAACAGACTCAACCATAGAGAACAAACTGATGGTCATCAGAGGAGAGAAGGTGGAGACGTGGGGGTTAAATACATGATGGGGATTAAGGTGTGCACTTGTGATGAGCACCGAGTGTTACATGGAAGTGTTGAATCACTATATTGTACACCTGAAACTAATATCATGCTTTATGTTAACTAATTGGAATTTAAATAAAAACTTTTTAAAAAGCCACACCAAAAAAAACAAAAACAAAAACAAAAAAATACTATACTGCCAAGAGAAATTAAAGTAGACCTACATAAATGGAAAGTTAACAACATTTATGAATTGGAAGACTCAATATTGGTAAGACAACAGTTCTCTCCAAATTGATCTCTAAAATGAGTGCAACCTCAAGCATAATCTCAGCAGAAATTGAAATGTGCTTCTAAAACTTAAATGGGAGGCATCCGGGTGGCTTAGGCCGTTAAGTAGCAGACTTTAAAAAAAAATTTTTTTAACATTATTTTTGAGAGGCAGAGCATGAGCAGGGGAGGGGCAGAGAGAGAGGGAGACACAGAATCTGAAGCAGGCTCCAGGCTCTGAGCTGTCAGAACAGAGCCTGATGCAGGGCTCGAAACCATGAATGGTGAGATCATGACCTGAGCCAAAGTCAGACACTTGACCAACTGAGCCACCCAGGTGCCCCTAAGGGGCAGACTCTTGATTTCGGCTCAGGTCATGATCTCATGTTTTGTGAGTTCGAGCCCTGCATCAGGCTCTGTGCTGACAGTGCAGAGACTGCTTGGGATCCTCTCTCTCCCTCTCTCTTTGCCCCCACCACCCGCTTGCTCTCTCTCTCTCTCTCAAAATAAATAAAATAAACATTAAAAAAAATAAAATAAAATTTATATGGAAATAAAAAGAATCTAAAACAGCCAAAATAGTCTTGGAAAAGAACAAAGTTAGAAGATGTACCCTACCTGATCTCAAGGCTTGCTAGTAAGCTATAGTAATGAAGACCATGCAGGATGGGTGTAAGGACTTATCTATTGTTTTTATCTTTCCAAACTTTACCACTCCATTGCTAATAGAATCTTGTAAGCATTTTAAAGGTCCTTAATGGAGACTATTTTATGCTGATGTTGTTTGCACATGTATATTATTCCTCTTCTAGACTGTGAGGTCTCCTTGTATCCAGGCACTCAGTTTTTTTACCTAACTCTATAAAGTCTTCAATGCCTGTACTATTATTCTACATCTGTAGTTTATTTTAAATAATATTTGTCAAAACAACAACCATTATGCATCTTAAGCAATCACAATCTCAACCCTCATGAGCACTGATGAAACATAAAGGCACGAAGCTTCCTCTCCAAATAACCTACCCAAGGTGGAGGGCTGGCTGGTTTTCGGTGACACCCATTTTGGGGAGGACTCAGGATGAGGGGCCACGGGTTGCACTGGGCGAGTCTGTCTGGCTGCCAGTTTCATCAGGCTCATTTGCCTCTTGTGAAATATCTCCTGCACATCACCCAGCTTCTGTAGGACTTCCTGGGCTTTGGCCTGCAGGAACAAAAGCAAACCATGACCAGGTCACCCTACACTGAGTCTGACGACATGAAGCATTCCCTTTCTCTTGTCTTCCCCTCCTCCTCCAACCCCACCTCCTTCAGGTGACCCTTCCATCCATATGCAAATCATTGCACAACTTGCCTTGCACCGGAATTATGCTTCTAAGAGTCTGAATCTCTCACCTTATGGGCAATGATCATATCCTTTTCACCACCATATCTCCATGCCTAGAACACTGCCCAACACAGAGTAGTGCTCAGTAAATATATATTGAGTAGATAAATGTTCACTAAGCCATGTCCATTAATAGCAGAAGAGGATGGGGCACCTGGGTGGGTTAGTCTGTTAAGCTTCCAACTTTGCTTCCCGTCATGGTCTCATGATTCCTGAGTTTGAGCCCCACATCAGGCTTACTACTGTCTGCACAGATCCTGCTTGGGATTCTCTGTTCCCCTCTCTCTCTGCCCCTCCCCCACTTGCACTTTCTCAAAAATAAATAAAACATTTTAAGAAAAAAGAATGAAAATAGTGGAAGAGGATGCCATAGACTATGAATGAAGGGCATCAGGCCACTTTTCTAAACAGGAGGATTTCAAAATAAGAGGTGTATCCTGAATAAAAGCCCTGATGGAGAAAAGAGTTGAAGTGTTCTGGAGGAAAGAGTTGGCTACATCCTGAGTCAGGATCAAGGGAACCACAAGTACCCAAGGATAAACATTTAAATTTTATTCTGTATGACCCCTTCTCTATAAGTAGTAAAGAAATAAACTGAAAAAAAAAATAAGGGAAAGATGAAACTCACAGACATTCCCATAACTGACTATATGCTCTAAGACAGAGGTTCAAAAGAACTAAAAACAAGACTTGGAGGTCTCCGAGTTTCACCAAGGCCTAAATTCTGCAAAATACGTTTCTTCTGGCCTTGCTTCCAGTATGACATCCCTCCAGCTCTGGTGGGTCAAGGGAAGTGGGTAGTCTTTGTCATGACATCCGTCTCCTGTATGACTTAAACCACCAAAGAAAGGACCCAGAATTAGAAGAACTCCACCACCACAAGCCTTCCAGAGTGCCTAATTCTGAAAGTACAGACTCAGCACACTCAGGGAGGAGGTTGCCACATTTTGCAACTGGAATAGTACATTTGTCTTTTTTGTTTGTTTGTTTTTTAAATGCTTATTTATTTTTGAGAGAGATAGGGTGTGAGAGGAAGAGGCTCAGAGAGAGAGAGAGAGAGAGAGAGACAGAATCTGAAGCAGGCTCCAGGCTCTGAGCTGTCAGCACAGAGCTTGATGCAGGGCTTGAACTTACGAAGTCTTGAACTCATGATCTGATGGCTCAGGTCAGATCATGACCTGAGCCAAAATCGGACGCTTCACCGACTGAGCCATCCAGGCACCCTTACATTTGTCTTTTTTATGCTGGGCCATCTTCTGAGGAAAAGAGCCAAGAGCCCTGAGGGAGGACTGGCACATCAGCTATGGAACAACTGGGGCCTCAGAGTCCTGTCAAGGCTGATGTCTACTCCAAGGTCTAGTGCCGGTCTTACTCCTTGTATGGTGTAAAATGTGGCTGGTCTGAGTTGAGCTGTGCTCAGTGTAAAATACACACTGGATTTTGAAGACATAGTATGAAAAAAAGAATGTAAAATATCTCATTATTAACTTTGATATTGACTATATATTGAAACAATATTTTGGACATATGTTAAACAAGACATTATTAAAGTTGATTTCACTAGTTTCTTTTTGCTTTTTTAAATGTGGCTACTAGAAAATCTTAAGTCACGTAGAGAGCTTGAGTTATATTTCTATTCAACAGTGCTGGTCTAGACTAGGGATCAGCAAAATTTTTCTGTAAAGGACCAAACAGTAAATATTTCAGGCTTTGCACACTGGTCTCTGTTACAACTACTGACCTCTGCTATTGTACCATAAAAGCTGTCATAGATAATATATACTACATAAATGAATGAGTGTGGCTGTGCTCTGATGAAACTTTATTTCTAAAAGTAAGTGGCAAGCAGCTTTGGCCCACAGGCAGTAGTTTGCTGACCCCCAATCTAAATTAAGGTGGGGCTTGTGTTTAAAAGGTCTCTTCAGAGAACGTGTGACTGGCCTCAGGAAGCTTGCTGTACAGTGGACTAGAGGTTCTGACAACACAGCTATGAGTCCAGATCCCAAAAGAAACCAAATCCCTTTATGTCAGAGTGATAGCAATGTCAGTTTGCATTTTGGAGGGATTGTGATGAGACAACCCAATGATAAGCTTGAGGAAACGGAAACTGAGACATAGGCATTAACTGCTGCACAAAGATCAAGAAATCTGACTGAAAGAATGTCAAGTTGTTCATGTATGGTATACAGCTCTGATGTGAGGTCAGTGCCACATGCTGGAGCCCAGTGGCTCACCACTTGGACTAGACAGGACCTGAATCACCCTTGCCCTTTTGCATCTCTTCCTGAAGATCCCAGGGTAAACCCTGGAAATGGTCAGGTGATCAGACGAGACCCTAAATTCCTAAACTCAGGTGAAGGGGAGCCGGTGCAAGATTAACAACTGCATCTCCTCCGTTCCTCTTAACTCTTTTTACTTGCAAATCCATTTTCCATACCACAATCAGAATTATCTTTCCAGGATGTAAGTCTGACCATATAACTTCCCTGTTTAAAAGCCCTGCTGGGGTGTCCCACTGCTTCAGGACAAAGTCCAGACTCCTCATGGAGGAGTCCATGACTCCTCACTGGGCCCTTCATTAATTGACCCTGATTTCCCTCCAGTCTAACCTCCACTAGTTCCCACCCCTCACTCCCACCTCCAGGGGTGGCAGTTACCAAATGCTCTTGTTTCCAGCCTCTCTGCCTTTGCAACTCTTCTTCCTCCCTCTGCTTTTTCTCCCTTAAAAACTCCTATGTGGTCCAAATTTAGGCATCTTCTCCTAAGATGTCTTCTTCTTCTTCAGGCTGAGCTGACCTTTGCCTCATCTACGTGCCCCAATATCCCTTCCATTCCACATGCTCTTGGACCAACACACACTTACCGGAAACATGTTTGTCTTCCACTAAACTGCCAGCACCTTCATTATGGGCATTGTGACTTTCATTATTGTATTCCCAGAATAAAGCACAAACTGGATTCCCAGTGAATATTTATTTTTTTTTAATTTCTGTTCTTTTTTAAAAAATGTTAATTTGTTTATTTTGTGTGTGAGAGAGAGAGAGAGAGAGAGAGAGAGAGAGAGAGAGAGCTGTCAGTGCAGAGCCTGACTCTGGGTTCCATTTCAAGGAACTGTGAGATCATGATCTGAGTCAAAATCAAGAGTCTGACGCTTAAATGACTGAGCCACCCAGGTGCCCCCTGCCCCACACAGTGAATATTTAAAGAATTGAATTTTTCTATTTGTGACTGCGATTGTTTAATTACCTAAACTGGGCAGTGAAAGCAAAGGAGGGAGAAAAATCAAAACAGCAGCACCAAGAGGATAGTGCAGAAAGGCACTTGAAGAGCCTCAGACAGGCAAGGTGGCTGCTACAAGAACAGCAGTTTACCATGATTTACCATGATTTACCACTTACCATGATGATTACCATGTCTTAAATGTAACAGATTCAACTGTTTAGACATGGAGTACTAGTGTTTTAGAAATAAATTTTATTTTTTCTAATAGTTTTAGAATTACAAAAAAAATTACAAAATAGTACAGAGAATTCCCATATAGATAATCCAGTTTCCCCTATTATTAACAGTTTGCATTAGTATGGTACATTTCTTACAACTAATAAAATATTATTGATATGTTATTTTCAGTATTAAAATTATTATAATTAAAATAATAATAATTAAAATTATTATAATTATTATTAAATAAAAGTCCATGCTTTATACTTAGATTTCCTTAGTTTTACCTAATGTACTTTTCTGTCCAGGGTCCTATTCAGGATACCAACTTACATGTAGTTGTCATGACTTTTTAGGCTCCTATTGGCTGTGTCAATTTCTCACCTTTTCCTGATTTTTGACGACTTTGACTATTTTGAGGAGTATTCGTCAGTTATTTTGTAGCATGTTTCTCAACTGGGATTTATCTGATGTTTTTCTCATGATTAGACTGGAGTTAAAGGCTTTGGGGGTAAGACCACGGAAGTAAAGTACCATGTTCATCCATCATATCAAGGTTACATCATATCTACTTAACAACACTGTTGATATTGGCCTTGGTCACCTGGCTGAGGTCCTGTGTGTAAAGTCACTTCACTTTTGTTTCTCCTTCTCTGTTCTATACTCTTTGAAAGGAAGTCACTATGTACAGCCCACATTTAAGGGTTGGAAAACTATATTCTACTTCCTCAAGAGCAAAGTATCTACATAAATAATTTGGAATTCTTCATAGGAGATTAGTCTCATCTGCCCCATTTATTTATTTATTCCATCATTTATTCATATCAGAATGGATTCATGGATATATAATTTCTTTGGGGCTGTAATCCAATAGTACTTAATTAATTTTGTTGTTCTAACTGTTCTAGCATTGGTCATCAGTTCTCTTCAGTTGTTGCCTATATCCCATCACTATGGTTTGTTGTTTCATTTTTAGTAGTTCAGTCCGGCAGTACAAGATGCTGTAAGATCACCTTACATATTTCCTGCCCCAGCCCTAGAATCAGCCATTTCTCTAAGAAGCCTAGGTCTCCTTTACTGAAGAATGGTATTAGAAACCAAGATCTCGGTGCTAGGAGTGCTTATTGGCGCTGGGGGGTCTCATTGCTTCTAGGCTATCTCAACTGTCAAAGTGAAAAGATACATGTGTCTGTACCATATCTACATATACATATATCTAGGAATATTTTTATATGTATAGAGTACCAGTTTTGACAATAAAGTCATTACTTCTCAGTGGACAAAACTTTCTTTGACAAGGATATTTAAATTTTACAACCTAAAATTTTATTCCAAACCAAAAGAAGTAAAGATGGACTTTGGAGATGTTTTAATCCATTTGACCTACAGGATTTTTCGAAAAATATTTCTCTTATAATCCTCTCCTTCCTTCATGTTTCTGCATATTTCTCAGAGGTGGTTTATTAAGTTTTATTCATTTCCTGGTAGGTGGTATGGTCAGAAAGTTCACTGAAGTTGGGCAGCACAGCAGCTGTGGCTACAAATCTTCCTGGTGGACCTGATACACCTATTTGAGCAACTAATGGAGTTGGAGCTGGGTGAGACAGATTTGCCTTAGGAATCTGACCTGGAGCTACAAATACTGGGTCTGCAATGTAGAACCTACACCAGATGGGCCTTGTCTTTGTTCCTTCTGCAAGGAAGTAGAAGGATCTTTGTGTTAGGGGAGGGTATCTGCCTACACATCCCCCACCCCTTACCAAGATCACAGCTTACCACCAAGAGGTTTAAGGGAAAGAACATCATTAACATACAACTCCATACTGAGCTACCCCCACTGTAATCTGCCCACTCTGTCACCTGCCTTCCCACTTGTTCAATAAATATAAATTGGACACCAGGCAAGGGTTAGGCACAAGAATGCAGGGGTGGATGAGGCTCCTGCCCTTCAGGAGCTCCCAGTGTAATAAGCAAGACAGACATTTAAAATAAATAAGTAGATGGGAAGCCCTGAGTGGCTCAGTCCATTAAATGTCCAACTTGATTTTGGCTCAGGTCATAATCTCACAGTTCATGAGTTCAAACCCTACATGGAGCTCTGCACTGAAAGTGGGGAGCTTACTTGGGATTCTCTCTCTCCCTCTCTCTCTGACCCTCCTCCACTCTCACTCTCTCTCTCTCTCTCTCAAAATAAATAAATAAACTTAAAGAAAAATAAAATAAATAAATAGAGATGCCTGAGTGGCTCAGTCAGTTGAGGATCTGACTTGATTTCGGCTCAGCTCATGATCTGAGTGTCATGAGATTGAGCCCAGCATCGGGCTCCACACTGAGCATGGAGCCTGTTTAAGATTGTCTCTCTCCCTTTGCCCCTCTCCCCTGATGGCTGTCTCTCTCCCTCCCGCTAAAATTTAGAGGAAAATTGATTTTCCTCTAAAATTAAATTAATTAATTTTTAAAATAAATAAGTAGAATGTAGTGTGGTATACAACATGTTACAGCAAAGGCTCTTAGCCTGAATTCATGGATGGGCTTTAGGGCATCCCATAAAATTAATTATAAAAGTTACATATGCTGGATATTCCCTATTTGTCACTCTACTACGTCTTCTTTTCCCTGCTTTGTGTCCCAGGAAGCTGACCTGTATGGACTCTGTTGGATAGGCTCACTTGCCTATGGGCTTTTAGTTGGTTTGGCCAAAGGGAAGCACTACCTGGACATCCAAGAGAGGGAGAGAGGAGAGTAGGGATATATATTTCTCCATTAATAGTTGCATTCCTCTGCCCAAGGCCACAACCCTTACTAGCTGCCTGTCACAGTCACAGTTACAGTGCTTCTTGGGTTCCCCTTTGCTCTTTAGGCTTATGGGTGGTAACTGCTTCCATTTTCTTGCTAGCCCCAGGGACCTTCACCATCCTTATTGGATTCCCTAAATCCTGCCATATCTTTGTAAAAAGTGCCTATATCAAACTCTCTTTAATCACTTTGGGTATGCAGGTCCTGAAAGTATATGAATCAGATTCCATGACTCAAAAGAGGCCCGTGACTCAAAGAAGTAAAGAAGGTGTTACTGAAGAGACACATACAAGGTGGTGGGAATCTCAGAGGAAGGTGTGCCATACAGAATTCTGCTGACTTCACAGAGGAGTGCTCCTCTCAAAATGCAAATCCAACCAAGTTATTCCCCTGCTTAAATCCTTCAGTGGCTTCCCACTGTTCTTAGAATAAAGACCAAACTCCTTAAGATGGCCCACAAAGCCCACCTCATCTGCCCCTCTCTTATCTCACCCCAAACACCCTTCCTTTGCTCTCTGTACTCCAGCCATCCTGACCTTTGGGTTCTGCACTTGTAACAGACTCCCTCCAGGCCTGTGTCCTCTGCACATGCTGTTACTTCTAATCTGGAAAGGCTCCCCCATCATCTCTACACATTCTCCAGGCCTTGGCTCAAGTATTCTCAGTCCAGGTCAAGTTTTTCTATCACATGCTCAGCAGGATCCCAAATCCCTCCTCCAGAACACTTATCTTAACCTGTAACACATTCTTATGTTTTGTGTTTGACATTTATTAATGTCAGCCTCTCCTATTAGGTTCCATCAGAGATGAAAGAATGTCTATTATTGCTGTGCCAATATATAGCACAGTATTTGGTATATCAGAGATGCTGATGAGTATTTGTAGAGAAACGAATGACTGAGAGTGATATTTGGGTGAGACCGTGAAGGGTATTTTCCAGGAAGCACAGACCAATAGTGTAAGAGGCCACCTCAGAACACAGGAATTGGTGAACCTGCTCAGTACATCCTACCCGGACTTTCTTAAGCAATAGTCAAAAGGCCCCCAGTGCTTCTTTCCAACCACAAGATTAAAATAACCCAGAAACATTACCTTTAGGTCAAGGGTGAGTATCAACTCGAACTGGCTGTAAAACTCCATGTGGCTGGGCAAGTGGTACTCCTTCGCAGTGCCCAGGAATGCCTCAATGTCGTTCAAGGCAACGTCAACTCCCTCTCGTGACTGGCACTTGTCTACAGCTTGGGAAGCCAAAAGGTAGATTCCTGCTTCACACCATTGGCTGACCTTTTCAAAAGAAACACAGTGCCCTATGCAGTCAGCCTGACCACAACCCTCAGGAGGTCTGAGCTCATCTGTGGTCTAGAAGGATCCTAAGACAACAGGAAATTGTCATGGGACAACATAAACTTCAGAGGTCTAACCACTGTCAATGCAACTATAAGGTGGACAAGCCCAAACTAATTTTACATCTGTCCACATCTCAGGAAAGTCATCCAGTCAGTAAAAAAGAATCGTATAAACATTCTTCTCTCTTCCACATACAGTAATTGCTACATCTCCAAAAGGAGAGAGTTAGGTATTCCTAAGTTTGGTTTAACTGTGGAGAAATGTAACCAATGACTTTTCAGGTTTACATTCTAGGTCATTCATTGTGCATCCTAACTGGTTACAAGACCATAGGGTAACAAATGAGACATTAGACCTGGACTCTACACGTCTTCCTAGGGAAGGGAACATCCCTTTTAACAAAACACTACTTTTCTCTGTCCACATTTGCATTTACTGGTATTTGTCTTTCCTAGGGAAGCATCGAAGAATGCAAAGCTTTGTAACTCACAACAGCAATACTCAAACTTTTTCCAGAATGCTGGGATGAAGTCAGATAGGTGATGAATTCTAACAATTTAATTTTTTAAAGACTTAAACAGAAAGACAGGGACCCTTGTGCTGCCAGAATATTTATGTATAACGAGGCTGCCAGTGCAAGCACATCTGCATTTCCACTTACCATGTGACCTGAAAAGCTACATAAAATAACTATACAGGGGGAAAAAGAACAAAAGGGAGCACTCCAGAGTAGTTATCTCTAAGTGGGAAAATTATAGGCAACTTAAGTTTGTATATTTTTTCCCTAAATTCCTTATGCTGAATGTGTACTACTTTTAGAATAACAAAACAAAATAAAGATATTTAAAAATTAGTGATTACCAATGTGTAGGGATAAGGAGGGGGATGGCATGTGTAGATGCCCATAAGAAACTTTTTTCCTTCTCCTTCCTACATTTTTGGATTTTCAAAATAATATAAATCATGCTTTAGTATATAATGTGAAAACTTTCTCTTAAAACATACCTAGATCTGCAGAAAACATTAAGCTGGGGTCTTCTGCAGAGTCACAGCAGATGCTTGCTCTCCCAGACACACACACACACACACACACACACACACACACACACACACACACA